GTGAAATAGTACCCCCGGCTGTTATTTCCTTTGTGAAATAGCACCCGTCATACCGTGTAGATCCGCGGATTAACCCCGGCACAGGCAAAGAACCCACACAAGCGAGAGACCGCAAAACAGGATCTCGCGATTCGTTCGACATAAAAGGAAAGTTGTAATTTTCATTTTCTTTTGATTTTATTGTAACCGGATCTTATAAAAAGATCGGATCTTTGTAACCGATAAACTGTTAACAAAGTAATCAATGGAATCATCAACGAAGAAAACAATTTTTCCCGCGAACAGGGCTGTCATCTGGAAAAGTTCCAAGCAGGATACAGTAGCAGACTCGACTATGGAAGCTGAATACATTGTAGCCAATGATGCAGCTAAAGAAGCTGTCTGGATGAGGAAGTTCCTTTTAGACCTGGAAGTTGTTCCCACCATTAAAGATCCAGTACCTTTATACTGTGATAATAATGCTGCAATAGCTCTAACAAAGGAACCTCGATCTCACCATAAGTCCAGACACATTCTGAGGAAGTATCACTTGATCAGGGAGATAGTTGATCACCGGGAGATCAAGATTGAAAGAGTAGACACAAAAGATAATATAGCAGATCCATTCACAAAGGCAATTGCTCGTTCACAATTTGAGAAACTTGTTGAGCTATTGGGTATTAGATACTATAATAATTGGCCTTAGTGCAAGTGGGAGTTTGTTAGATATAGGTACCCTACAGGTAATTATTGTATATTATAACAGGACCTATATGTATATAACATCCTTGTTTAAAATGATAGTATGCTATTTTGGTCAGGTTTATCTGATGTTCTAAATATACAGATATTATCCTTAGAATAAATACTAGACTATTAGACATTTCGGATAGTGATTGTAATGAAGAGATCTGATTAGTCCGTAACGTATATTCTTAAATGTTCCTAGTTGATGACGTGTTGAGATAGGATATCATCACTTTGGTTAAGACTAGTGTATGCTCTATTTCTTCTTTTGAAGGAGATGATCAATCTCTTAGATCATTCATGTGAGACATCAAGATACAGTATACAGGTGACTCATTAGTGAATGAGTTGACTGAACGACTCACCGAGAACATCTAGTTGGTAATATACTTAACTGTCAAATAGAAGTTCTCAAGTGATATAGTACATAGTAGTCTCTTGACCTGAGGCATGAGTACAATATCTTATATGTCAGTAAAGATGTATTTAGACTTTTACCTAACCACAGTTCTTATTGAATTGTGCATAACGGTTCTTGTTGGGTACATCCCGGGACATAAGTAGATATTGAGATGCCAAGAAGGGATTCATCTCTCCCAGTATAGGGGTTGATGTCATAAGATTGTTTGATATAACTATAGCCTGGAAATCCTTGGCCGAGGTAAATAAGATAAACTGAGTGTCAGTTTGATCTTATAGGTTATGAGTTTAATATCTACAAACACTAATTGAGCAATTAGGGTTTGACAGTTTTCCATACCCTTGGATTAATAGTTTGACATGGTTTGACGAAGAGACCGGACTGTACAGCATTATCACTGAGTGGTTCTGATAAAATTGTGTAAGCATCTTGCAGACATTTATCACAACTTATACCCGGGTAGTCTTCATGTGTAGCTAGCACCTCTGTTGTACTTGTGGATATAATCCACTGCCGAGTTCTTCAGTTGGGCTCTAGAGTCACACCAAGCGCGTACTTGAATCCTATGAAACACAATTTATAGAGTGATGCGTATGATTGATACGCATATATGATTTTACCGGATACACATAAACGGTTATGTATATCCATAAAATTGGAATGCTATGTGCTTAGGAAATGAATTCTAGTATTTTTCCTATAAAGTTAACTTTTAGTCAACTAGTTGACTTTTTGGTCAATAGTTGACTTGTGGTCAACTCATTGACTTTTTGGTCATATGATGACTTATTAATCAATGATCGGAAAATTACAAAATATCATATTTATGAAATATAATATTAATTTGGTATTCTCATTTATGAAATACACATACCATATATAATGAGTCATGAGATGAATCATTTAGTGGTATGGTTTGAGCACATGGTTTATTAGCACATGGTTTTGAAATGTAATGATTCATAAGATGATTCATTGCATGACTAACAAGATTAATCATTGATATTTGATGATTCATTGCATGACTCATAGGATGAGTCATTCATGTCATGAACACATTCCACTCTATAAATATGAGCTCTCTTTCTTATGGAAAGACTAATGAAAAATTGGCTAAGTGGTTTTTTCCATAAGAGAATAAAAGAGAGCTTTCCTCTTACTAAACTTTAGCAATCTTTGAGCAAGAGGAAGTAGTAGGATTTTAAGAACCTGGGGTGGATATATTGCCTTGTGTCTCAATAAGACTCCCACTTTATCAAGCCTACTTGAAGACTTGGAGATCCACTACGAGGAGATTTTCTACTACAAGGAGCAAGAGCTAGGGGTAATTCGATCTTCTATCGAATCACGCTTCGAAAGTATGACTTTCTAACTCTTGTATGCTCTCTTTAATATAGGGATTATGTTAGATTTAATTAGGATGGTCCTATTATGTATTTCATGCTCTCTTCATGCATAGCATAATTATACATATAGTCTTCCGTTGCGTATTTTGCATGTATTTAGCATGAATTTCCTTCAGTCAAGGGGATTGTTTTGGGGTTATTGGAGCACAGAAAAGAGATATCTTTCTGAGATATTGGTTAGTGTTATTGTTTGAGAGATTGAGAGCTTTGTTTGTGAGATTAGTTGGTTTGTTTTGAGTAATTTGTAATCTCAGTTTGTACTCTCATTCTCTATTAGTAAAAACTCATCCTCTTCTTGCCCCATGGATGTAGGAAACTTGCCGAACCATGTAAAATTAGTAGTATGTATTTGTGCCGTTATTTTGCATTGTTTGTCTTTCTCTCTCGGCGTTTGGTTTGGTTCCTCGACGCACATCGGTTTTGGCTTCCGCGCACAACAAATTTTTTAATAACTTTCAATAAAAATAAAGTAATATAGAATTAACTATACAGTATATATTGCGCAAGTCAGAAGTAATATTATAAATATCACTTAACCATAATAAAGAGCCAGAACATGTAGTTAGGGATGAGAATTCTTCTAAAAGGTAGCTGCTTGAGCAGCAACATGTGTTTAAGCTTCAATTCTATAATTGTTCATAAAATGAAAAAGATATTCAATTTCCCATATTCATTAGTTTTCCTATTTATTTATAAAATTAAAAAACAGATTCACAAACTAAAAAACTTTTTGTAAATAAATGATTATATACTTTCTTACAAAGACCAATTTTTTAAATAAATGCAAGAATTTTCGAAAATTGGGTTTATAGTGAAACAGAAACTTGTTATTATTTAGGGTACTTAAGTCTTAAATAATGACATCTTATCACCAAAAGTAAAACATAACTTAAGCAGTGGCAATCAAAAATTACATAGTGAAAAGCATGGCAAATAAAAAAAATTAGAGAAACGGGGCTCATGTTTTCTTTCAACTTTAAATATATAGGACATAAATTATAAAGAAAATAGATTAAGAATTAGAATAACATGAATAAATAGTAGTGCTTTATATATTATAACTATATATTTATAAATACCTATATTATATATACTATATATATACTAATTATATATGCGGAAATGTTTTCCTAAGGTGACACATTAGATTCCCACCTAAGGACGCGGTCTAAAATCATATCATTCCTTAATTTTTTTTTACGATCCGCTACGTTGAACTTGATCTACACATTCTTAAACCCAAACTAACCAATTTTTAATTTTGGGTGAACCCAGCGTGTTTTGACCCTTCATCCACTCGCCGCTAATTTTTACGGTTTCGAGATGAATAGAACTTTTTGTACATCTCAACGACGAGGGTCAAAACACGAGGTGGTTCACCCCAAAATTAATGTGTTTGGTTTAAGAACGTGTAGATCAAGTTCAACAGAGCGGATCACAAAAAATTTAGGAAATGATGTGATTTTAGACCGCCGTTCTTAGGTGGAATCTAAGGTGCCATCTTAGGAAAACATTACCATATATATATATTTATACTATATATAATATAAATATATATATAATATATATATATTATAATATATATATATATATATATATATATATATATATATATTATATCATAGTATATATATATTCAATGATAAATTTTGAAAATAATCATATTCACAAAATTAATTACAAATTTCGATCTATTCTGAAGTTATTTGTGAAAATCGACCCAGTTTCAGCCATCGGGCTGAAACTAGGTTGATTTTCAAAGAAAAAAAATCTCTGAAACTTCACGAGAAGTCCCCTGAAGTTTACCAGACAGCTAATTAAGCTGCATAACTTTACGAGAATTAAACTCCCGTGAAATTTTTTTCCCTTCGCGAAGTTTCATAAGTAAAATAAACTTCACAGGACTTGAAGTCCTGTGAAGTTACGCAGCTTAATTAAATTGCTGCTAAGGACTTCAAGTCCCATGACGTTTCTGGCTGAAACTAGGTCGGTTTTGACAAATAAATTTCAAATAGACCGAAATTTGCAATTATTTGTCAAAATGAGTCTATTTTCAAAAATTGTCCTATATTCAATATTACTAAATTCTCCCCCGAGAAGGGAGTATCTTGGCTGAAGATCTATAAAATACAAAACCCTTTCAAGAGAAATTACTTGGTCTACGGAAGCTTGAAGCTTTAAAGCCAAGAAAATTTGTTTTGAGGAAAAAAAATCAAAACTTCCCCATGGAGAGGGAAAAAAAAGAGTCTTTTACAGAGACTATGAAGATCCTTGTAAACCGGTAGTATTACTAAAAATATTGTCCTCCACAAACACTCAATGTGTGCAATTTCATTTTTTAATTAATTGACAGCAGGTATTACCACCAATCTTATATATATATATATTGGTAAACCGAGACAATCTGTAGTTACCACGGAGTTGATCAAGTCATGAAGTTGATTGCATTTGGATGATCAAACAGATATATTGACATTCAAAAGTTCAACCTCTCTTAACTACTAATATATTATCATTATCACAGTTCTTCACAAACAAAATTCACAATGAAATTAAAAACGAAATTGAAATTTGAACTTCAATACCCATAATTATAAGAGAAATCGGATAATCCCACCATAGCATTCACAACCTGAGAGACAAGATAACCACCACCAACCACCACGGTGATGATGAGGATTGCGGTTACAGGATTCTTGAGCAGCTCAACAATGGGCTGGAAAACTGTGTAGATAACCCCAGTGCTCACTGTCAAGATATAAAGTCCATATCTCCTCATGTTGTCCCAAAACTCCTCAACTAAAGGCCCTTCAGGCCCAATGGCTAAGGCCTCATGCTGACCATCAGCACCAAGGATCAAGAAGGCAAGGCTCAGTGAAGCTCCACCAAGGAAAACCCATCTTGGGATTTTAGATGAGATAGGGAGTTCTGGTTTTGTTCTAGGAGAGGTGGCATTGAGATTGAGAGTAAGAGGGGGGGATTTTGTTAGTTTGAGGTGGGTTTTCGAGGGTTTGAGAGAAGGGAGGGAGGATGGTGGTTGTTTTGGGGAGGGAAGGAGACAGTTGTTGAGTTGCAGAGCACAAATGTTCATTGTTTTTCTGGTGAAGAGTCGAAGTAGAGGATAGACGAGAAAGTTTATTTCTGCTCTTTTTCAGGGGATGGGAGATAATGGGTGGTTCCTCGCTCTTGCCTTATCTTTATGTTACTTTTCTTTTTCACCATTTGTTATTTCTCAAATGTGTATTTACCAAAAGAATTCGAAAATGAGATGTTCAACGAGAGCATACGTTCAATGTTGTTGGTTGTTATAGAAACCAACATAAATGGGTGGATAATATTATACCTTAGTGATAAAATACTCTAAACCCTTTATATATAGATACAGGGCTTTCATGATGGGTGAATGAGAGAAAACACCATAAACATTTACAAAGCCGTCGTCACCTTTTCCAATCAAGTTTGTGTTTTATGTGGTAGTCACGGGGTGATATACGAAGGCTTCTCGTCATATTTGCGTGTTCGCCCTCCGACCGTTGTTCAAAGATCAAGTATAGATTCATGGTAATCTTTCCAAAAGATCCAAGAAAGATAATCACAAAACAATAGTCATTTTTATACTTGGTTTACATAGTATTAAAGCGAGATTAGGGCTGCTCGCACTTTTTATCTTCTTCTTTTAGGATTAGATCTATTTCCATGACATATTATGTTAGTTTGCATTAGATCTGAAGTTTCTTTATGGTGATGCTAGTCTCTAGAATAGAAAATTGGGATTTTTGTTAATAAAATTTATTTTTCTTATTAAAAATTTAATTTTTTGGTGTAAAAATTTATTTTTGACAACTAGAATGCCCAATTTATAATAAAGAATTTAACATTTATGAACTAGTGGGCAAATTTAATAAATCATAGATTTATTACATTTTTTGGGATCTAAAATTTTTCTATCTTTTATTTAGATTTTTATTTTTTTTGAATTAAAAAAACCCTATGTCCCCCATTGCTAGTACTGGGGGCATTGACAGCGGCAGGATCATGAGGCGCGAGGTTTTAGCGTTTGGGCACTAAGAGGCCCGCCGCTATCGACGCTGGGCTCTGCATTGCGAGAGACTTTAATAAAAAGGAGGAAGTGGGCAGTGAGCAGCAGCATTGGGCCCTGCCGCTGGCTGAGATATGCGGAGGGCTTGCGTCGACACCCCAACCGTGGGCTTTGGCGTGCGCTGCTGGATAGTGCTGCCCGCCAACAATTGATCTATCCCTAGGGTTTTTGAAACCCTTGGTGAAGATTGGTAAATACATGTTTTTTTAATTTTTGAAAATTCTAGAAATATGTTTTTAAATCATAAAATTATTTTTTTAAATAGAAATATTAGAAAATATTTTTATTATTTTTTTAGAAATTTTGATAAATTTTGATGTTAGGCCTAGTAGATTTCATAATAGAGTTTTCTTTGGATTTTATTTTAAACTTTGAAAGTTTAGAAAATTTATTTTTATACACAAGAAAATTTAATTCTAAAATCCTAATAAAATCTTGGAAATTTTAATGGGTAGTTGTTTTACAGTGAGAGTGTCTGGGTTGCATACTAATATCACGAGAAACAAAATTCCTAATAAAATTGTCAAGATAAATTAGGTAGTTAAATATAAAAGTGAAATCGTTTTTTTATATTTGTCATGTCACATCCTCATATGCCTCTCGATATATATAAATAAATAATTTCAAGTGGGAGATTTCGAGTAGAGATTGTACTATGATTTAACTAACTAATCTAGTCTATCTCTAAGAAATCTAATACTCCATTTTCAAAAAATATAATATTTTTAAAAATTATATCTTTCAACACTTTGTTTTTGGGCATTAGGCCTTCATCCCTTTGTTTGCGATGTAACTTTATTATCGATATAAAAGGGTTGATGAGATGCAATATTCTTCAAAGAAGAATAATACTTCACGTAAATTCCAATAATCTTAATGTAACCACAATTAGAGTGTATTAATTCTTCTCTTAAGGTACAAAACAATTATTCCGATGACAATTAGGGATTGAGTAGTTTGAGACACTTCTGTTGGAACATCCATTTTTTCCTGAGAGTAGGAAATTTTGGTGAGCACTGAGGCGGCAATATCCGAGTCGGAATAGCATTCAATTCGAACTCAAAGATTTGAGGTTGGTCAGTACAAGATCTGAAAATGACAAGATTGTATCATGTGTTTCATCAGTGTACTACAAAGAGGAGTAATTTTATCTAGGATTATGAGGATAATCTGAATGCAAAAAGGTTCCGGGATGCTCTCAATGTGAGATTCAGATATGTCTCTTCAATAAGAATCAGAGCTCTTATTAATAAGTTGGATTCAATTGGGATGTCTACTAAGAAGAGTATCAAATTTACCTTTGGATGATGACCTCTATGATCTGGGATCATGAGAAAGCTATAACTGTGTCAAGCTAGGAGTGGCAGATCCGCGTGGTTATCTCAGCTACATAACTTCATGATATACATTTATTACTTTTATTGCACGTTGCAAATGTGAAACATTCAAGGATTTGAATATAAAAAGAAAGTTAGAGTCCAAACACCAGGGTGTATTCAAGTCTAAAACGTCTACCTCGGCTTTGAAAGTTGAATACCCGAGGCACGAGGATAAGAGCCTAGTTGCAATGGGTACACCAGATGATTTTTCAAAATGTATTCTAAAATTAAAAAAAAAAGCCAATTAAAAGGTGAAAAGTTCAACGAATAAGAGAAAAATTAATTGATTTAACTGTAAACAAGCCGATCATTTTCCAAATAAGGGCACACAATCGAGAAAGCTTCGCGACTCTCGGATAACATCTATAGGGTAGAGGTAGTATTGAGCCGAAAATGAGAGCGAAAAGATGTAGCTAGTGATTATGTAATAGTGCTGGGTACTAATGCATAAAGGTCTCCTCTAAGTTCAGCGAAAAAATAGATCTTTCAAGATTTTCTATATGCTCTCATTAAGAGTAAGGAATCATCTCTCAGTAGTTAGGCATGTGCAATCCTAGTTGGTTTCCCTTTTGTGGGTAGCTTACTTAGATTTGCTTCAATTTGTTTTGCTTATATAAGCCAAGCTAATTGTTTAGTTGACTTTAGCATCTGACATATTACTAGATAATTGGGTTATCTTCTATTTTATATTGTGCCATAAAGTAAGATGGGACCTAATGCATGGTAAAATAGATTAAGTCACATAAGAGGACACGTGAAGCTTACTAGGGCGGCCTGCTTAGCATATGTACTATTATCCTTCAACGAGTTTGGTCTGGTGGGTAAAATCACTAGAAAATCATTTCACAAGGCTATGAGCACCTCAATTACAATTTGTTTATTGTAACATATGCAGACTGATATGATGAAGGTGCAAAGTGGAGTATATTCATTTCTCATATTTATAGGCATTACTTTATTTACGATCATGTGTATCTGATTTTGTGTCTAATTGGGTGCTTGAATTGGTTGCAAGCGCTGAATTGATAAGGTGGATAATCGGTTAAGAAAAAATATTAGGGCTTTGCACACTAATCATGAGAGTGTTCAAGGAACTATGTCAAGATAGAGGAAAAGTCATACGGTTAACTATATCCTATATTCTACTATAAAATAGTATTATAGAAATGAGGAATATAACTTTGCTACATGTGGTTTAGAATAGATACCCATTAGGTTTTGGCTAGATGTTGTTGGCCTTCTTGTTTTGATGATGATTTACAAACAATTTACCACTAATGTTGTTTGTCTAGTGTTTGTATATTCCTATGTATTGTAGATAAACAACGTTGTTGGAGGTTGGATGGATTGAGCCTACACGATCATATCAAGAGGAGGTTGGCGGAATTGTGGAGTGAAGCAACGTACAATTCTAGTTAAAGATCAAGTTCAAGCATCATCCGCAAGTGTACCAAGTTAAGCTTATTGAAGATCAAGATTGCTTGGGTAATGTAGTTTTAGATTTATATTATGTGTGTTAGATACTCTAAGCTCAATATCGTATACACACACACTTATTGGTTTCTTCGTATATATATATAGTTATATATATAATACACACACACTTATTGGTTTCTTCGTATATATATATAGTTATATATATATACATAAGTTTTTGGTTTCCATGCATATATATAGTAATATATATACATACATGTGTTTTGAGTTTTTATGATTATATATATGAAATTATATATTTCATATTTTCTATTGTGTTTTTGAAAACATTGCATAGAATATGCAATTTTGTGAAAATATTGTATTCTTAGTTTGTAGACTTCAATATCAGTTTATACAAGTTTTACTAAGTCTATAAAAACATTTCACAAAGTTTCAAAAGTTGGTTTATGTCAAAACATCAAAATTTAAGTATCTCATATTTTCATGGTTTGGACTATTTTGTAAAATGATGATATTTTTCATTTGCGAGGTCCTTTCTGATAACCAGTCACTGTAGCATGTTTATTATCATGTCTACAATCATTCCCCAAAGTTTTACATTTTTTGGAATTTATTTGATATTTTTAAACAGTGTTTTTAAAATCAGCAAATCAGTTTTCCGTTATATCAGTTTTCGATCGACCGCACCGGTCGACCGCTCGTTTGTCCTTTCGTCAGCATGCAGCAGAGAGTTGGTCGGTCAACCGGTACCGAATGCTTCATCGGTCGACCGCACCAGTCGATCGACGATTGTCCAGAACAGTTCTTCGTGTTTTTGCTCTCCGCCAGTCGACCGATATTTCCGCTGGTCGACCGCTAATGTATCCGTTGGCTTCCAACGGCTATTTTTCTGAGCTGTTTGCTGGGGCTGTTTTTGTCTTTTGTTAGGGGTTTTTGGCTGAGTTTTTGAGTGGGTATAAATACCCTATTGCTGTTCTCTTTCAACCTAACCAAGAGAATTATTTAAACAAGTTTAAGGGTGTTTTGTGTTTGTTTAAAAGAGTGTTTAAGAGTTTTGTTTGTGAAGCAAATTTCACAAGGGCAAGTGGGGATCATCCTTTGGTGTTTGATCATTCACTCTTCTCCCACTCTCTTGTCATCTTTAGAGAAGTGTTTCTAAACTCATCTAGCAATTTATTATTTTGATTATAATTTCCATAAGCTAGATTTATATTGACTTTAGTTTAATTGATTTTATTTATCTCTTTGTACACACACAACCA